AAATGTTACAGACGGACCGACGACGTTATCAAAAGGTTTAAATCTTCGTTTAACTTGCATTAAAATCTTAAATTCAATGTTTAACATGTCATTATTTTATAGGTGCAGATGATGCCTTCAATGACAGTATTATTGCTGAAACAGGCTTCAAAAATGGTAAAAACATTTTGTTATGATCTTCATTAGTCCTATTTTGTCATTAGTAGATCTTAGAGCTAATCACATAAATCATTTAGAAAAATATTTGTTTTTAATAATCCAATTATTTCTAAATAATTCAGTTCAGTTTGATCTAATAAAGGGAATTATTCATTTTATCTACTCTGGTTAAATCACTTCTTTCTTTCACAGAAACACCAGCAGGGCATTCAGCTAATGACACCAGAGCCGCTCTAAATATTTATGAGTTTTACAATCCTTCAAATAAAAAAATAGAATCAGGAAAGGAAATAAAAACAAAAAACAAACAATGCTGAGAGATAAATACGGAAGAGGATTAGGGCCAGTGGGGAAAAAATTCTGACCGAATTCTGACAATAAAAAAGTCCGAATTCTGAGATTAAAGTCATAATTCTGACTTTTTTCCCATACTAACCTGAAATAAAATTTAAAAATCAGTTAACTTTTTTTTTTTCTTCCAGTGGCCCTAATCCTCTTCCGTAGATAAAGCTTTTCCCTATAAAGGAAAAAAAATCAGAAAGATACCTCTGGCTGCCAAATGACTTCAATATGGGGCGCCGTTTGTAAAGATAAGCAGTCAAAAATTGGGAGAAATATTTATGGTTATTTAGCGTTTTAAGAGAAAAATAAGGAGGTTATCTTTTTATTTTTATTTTTTTATAAAATAATGAATGAACTAGAGAAAAAAAATGACTTGGAAAAAAACAACCTCCTTATTTTTCTCTTAAAAGCCGCTAAATAACCATAAATATTGCTCCTAATTTTTGACAGCTTCATTTTACAAACGGCTTCCCGTAGCTGTGGGTCTGAATTCAGCTCTATTTCCATCTTTCTGAAGTTCTACCAAACTTTTGCTTCACAGCCCCTAAATGCTGCAGTTCTCATCTTTCCATGTGCATCTTTTACACAATCATAATTTCCTACGTCTCTATTTTCCTTTGAGACAACCAGCATCTTATGTTTTTCTATCCCTAAATAATTCTTCTTTCTGAGGGTGTGAATTACTGTCAGCTTGACAACTTTGAAGTCTACAATCCTTCTAATGTTTGCGTGGACAATAATGAGGTCATAACATCATATTTCCTTATTGACAATGTTTTTTTGTTAATATTGTCTTTTTGTTTTTACATAAACTGAGTTTTGGGGTTTTATTAACTGTAATTTACATTCATCAGATTAATAGAATAAGACACTTAAAATGAATAGAAGTTGAACATCTTTAGCTGAATTAATTAAATATATTATTTCTGTATTATCATAAAACATTTCTGTTATATTTTTAATTCATTTGCTGTGATAATGCACTCTGAACTAAACTCTGTTTTTATGTTGTTGTTTTTTGTTACAGAACTACCAATGAGAGATTCAGCTAATCTCACTAGAGATGATTTTAATGCTTCTGATTATCAGAATAACCTAAATACAACATTGACTTTGAATCATTCAGAGGCTGTAGATGTTACAGAGGGATGGATAAACCCAGTAATAGGTGAGTAAACTCTGAAGAATCAACTTTTGGTGTGACTGAATTATTTTTAAAGAGGCTAAAATCTGATGTCTAATGGCAGCAAAACGGATGCTAAAAGCGCTGATGTAAAATATATAAAACTCATATTTTAACATATTAACAATTTTTCTATTGCCATTATTTTAATGATATTGATAATAGTTTGTAGAGGTCATCAAAGGTCAGTGAACATCTGTTCCTGCTGAAACTGTGAATTTCATATAAATTATAATTTACTAACCGATGAATATGAATAATTTAATTTTAACCTGGATAAAATGATAGCAGCACAAACGAAAATTTTTGCAGCACAAACGTAGCACGGTTGATTGACACCTAATTGATTTATTTTGTGCAAATGTGAGCAGGACCACAGGAGAGGTTGACCTCTGATGACCCCTGGAGAACATTTTTCTTTATATCTGTCAGATTTTCCTGCATGTCGTCATATATTATCCGTCTTTTCTTACAGAACAACCAACAGAAGATTCAGCAATTATTGACAGAGATGCTTTCAATGTTTCTCAGTCTTATGATTATCCAGGGGAAAAAATGAAACCTGGTAAAATACCAAGACTCAGAAATATTTTTATCTGTGGTTTAGTTCAGTTTTAGAGGAAATGTTTTTGGCAAACTTCTTTCTTTTGATTATGTTTTTAGATCCAGAGCAAACTGATAAATTTGAAGAAAAGGTGACTGGAAATGATTCAAACGCTCTACATGTTACAGACGGACAGACGACGTTATCAAAAGGTTTAAATCTTGGTTTAACTTGCATTAAAATCTTAAATTCAATGTCTAACATGTCATTATTTTATAGGTGCAGATGATGCCTTCAAT